TATCCCTGTCCTTCCTGTCTCTGTCCTTCCTCTCCCTCCCTCTGCTCCTCTCCTCTTTGGAGTCCCTCTCTCTCTCACTTTCACCCCAAGCCCACGACCGCTCCCTTTCTGGCCATCGCTTGTCCCTGCTCCTTTCATGGTCTCGGTCCCTTGTTCTCCAGTCCCTTGTTCCTTCACGAGACCAGTTTCTTTTCTCTGCTGATCCTTCTCCATAGAAATCATTTTTCATGTTTGGCAAATTGATGGGCTTTCGGAAAGGTCTGTCCCGTCCTCCAAACCGTAGCTGCCCGGATTCTTTTTTGCCTCCAAAACCACCTCCAAGCCTCCGAGGAATCCATCCTTTGAGAGTTCTTTCCAGTTCAAAGTCTACAAAGATCTCATGTTGATCAATAACCAGCCTGTTGGCATCTCTGTGGGCCTTCAAGAGAGCACGCTCCTCTTTGTACTCAATAAATGCGTAACCCTTGGAAAATCCCGTGACCAAGTCTCGAACCAGACGGATCTTTCTGATGTCTCCATACCGGGAAAAGACCTCCTTTAACTTCTCTTCTGTTGTCTGAAGATTGAGCCTTGCTACGAACAGGGTGAGGTGAGGATCTCCTGTAACTCCCTTGTTGGGTACGTAGCGTGCCAACATAGCCCTCCATATGGCACGGTCGTGGGGCTCTTCATCCGTGCCATCGATGCTCCCGGCTTTGAGGGGGTCATACTCCTTCGCTATGGGGGCCCAGTCATTCATTGTCTAGTGGGGAAAAAACATGCATCACGCAGATCGGCAGGTATTTTAGGAAGAGCAGCAGGTAGCACCAAGAAGCACTTTCAGCACCGCTGTACACTATTTCTCATCCAAAAATCCCCCAAAGTTTGACAAACTTAAATAAACCGGCAATATCGCTGCTGTTTGAGTTCACCTCCCCGGGCAGAGCCATGTCGGGCAACCCGGATTCGCCCCCGCTGAGGGGCGCCCGGCGGCCCCGTCCCTCTCCCCCGCCTGAGGGAGGCCCGCGGCCCTGCCCCG